GGAGGAGATAAAGGAATAGCCAGAAATATCATCATAGAAAGCCTGTAAGTCCGTCTTCTGCCTATAACTGATTGCTGTTGTTGTTGTTGTTGTTAAGTGCTGTCAAGTCAGTTCCGACCCATAACGACCCTGTATAGGGTTTCCAAAGAGCAGCTGGTGAGCTTGAACCACCGACTTTGTAGTTCAAACAGATATTCAGTCTGGCGCATTAACCCACAGTACCACACCAGGACTCTGAAAATAACTAAAATGGGGCTACAACGTGCCCAGTGAAGGAAGCTTCCTGCAGAGTGTCTGCATCACATAAGACCATATGTGGAATCCTGAGCCCCATCCAGAATCTTCTGAGGTGTGATATTCCCACTTGAAAGGATGAGCAGACCAGCCTGGAGCAGCTAGAACAGAAAGATTGACAGGAAAAATACAAAACAATACAGACAGTCAGACTAATTACTACAAGAACAAGCAAGTTGCTTGCCCAGGAGACATCAAGGCCAGTGGTCAGGTCCCCTCGGGGCAAATCCCTTTCCAAGACTAAGACTCAATGGGAATACACGCTCTGATTGGTGACCACATCCGTCACCGTTAAGGGGAAGTGAGGGAAAAACAGCAATGAAGCTGTGAGCTAAGTCCTACAACGTTCAATAGACTCCTGTGAACCTGGGTGGAGACCTGGTTGGCCATCAGTGTGGCAAGGCCTGGGGACTGTTGGGCCCAGGGTCAGTGACATAACCACAGAGGACTAGAGTGGAGAGTGAAGCATGCAGCTAATAAGAAGAGAGGACATATGCATAAGTACACCCACTTGCAGACAATACCCACTTGACCTGGCTTCAATGACTGGATGATCAGAGCTCAACTAGAAGAAGAAAGAAGAGGGAAAAATGAGTAGTAGTCTGATACAATTTGATGAACTTGATCTACACCTATGGATGCAGTAGTTCTAAAAGGGGGAAGAAATCTTTATAGTGAGGATCAGTCCCACCCCCTCCACACACAGAGTAGACAGGGATGGGCAACTTGGACATTGGCTACCCAGAATGGGGGGCAGGGGTCTTCAAAGGCAAGAAGTGACTGACTACAAGCTTTCAAGAGGGAGCCTAGATCCAAAAGGCGTGGAGGAAGGTAGAATCTCCACTGAGTAGTATCCAATCTGTCTGGACAGGGCTGATGAAAGGAGATGGTGATAGGTCTCTGTGATACAATAGTGAATAATTGTTATTAAGCCTGACTGTGAGGGTTGGAAATTTAAAGGTAGATGTTTTTCAGCAAAAGGAGGGGAGTGAATGACTTTTCAGTCTAGGAACAGAGGTTCCTGGGACCATCAAGGGAGAAGAGCAGAGAGCGGGACCCTACCCAGAGAAGCAGTGTCACCAGAGATGGAGGTAGAGAGGATGACGTGGAGAGATGGAGTGGCTGGGGACTTTAGACCCAGAGAGGGAGAGGGGCTGTGTGCTGACAACTGGGGGGCAGGCTTGCAGGGTATACCCTTTGGTTGGTTGATGATGCATAAAGAGGACTGTAACCATGGCAATGAAATGATATACGATAGGGTAAATATAAAGCTAATGTTCTCCCATGTAATCTATCACATAATTCACAATAAAACTTAAAAAATAAAAAATAAAAAGGATTAACCTCTCCAGCACACTGACCCTCAAAGTCTACAGACAGAGAATATCATACTTTCTTGGTCCCAAAGCAAATCTGCTTTACAAAACAGATAAAGTTCTTCTTGAGAAAGGCAGGATTTGCCAACCCCAAAGCACTATTAAAATGTTATTTATTTTGGAGACAAGAACAAACTCCCAGGAGAAAAATTAAAATATTCCTTTTAAAATCTGGATAATCTCTCTAGACCCCAACTCTAATTCCCGCACAGAATAAATGTTTTCTATAATTTCATGCTCCTTTCTGGGATATAAGTGACTCTACTTCTGTCAAGTGAGCATTGTTGTTGTTAAGTGCTGTCAAGTCAATTCCAACTCATAGTGACCCTGTATAGGGTTCCAAGGAGTGAATGGTTGATTTGAACCACCGACCCTGTGGTTCAAGATGACACTGCAGTTGAGTGCTTATCCTACAGTGCCACACTGTCAAGTGGGTAGTGGTTAATTAGCAAAGTTGTAGTCCTATTTTATCTCTGAGAGAAGTAAATTGCATATGATGTCAGCCTCGTCACTTTATATTTTTCCTTCTGTTCGGCAGAAACATCATAGATGTGTAAGAATAGAGTTATTCCAGACGTTACTAAAGTTAAAAGAAATCCTCAAACAAAATTAACTAATTTGCATGAACACACAACTGGAAAAGAAAGGAACCCAACAGGCTATTTGAAGTCTCCAGAATTTGAGATTTTTAACTCAAATTTGGCACATAATGCATGTATGTGCTACAGAAGGAGGAAGTTCTGAGTTTGGCTTTAAAAAAATCACTTGCCTTTTTATCAAACTGTGCTCATATAAAGTGAGAGAAAGAAAGAAAAAGTAAAGTAAGAAAATATGTCAATTTTGAGATTGGGATTGGTGGCATTTGGATGAAACTCATTAATTTTCAATAAATAGACTCAATGATTTTCCATATCCTAAAAATGGAAATTCTTTTTCAGCTTAATTGGACTTCCTTTTCATAACCAGTACGGCAATCATAAAGCCCCACCACTGCCATTAAGTTGATTCCAACACATAGGACAGAGGTATATTGCTCCTTGTGGTTTCAGAGACTAAATCTTTATAGGTGCAGACAGTTTCAAATTTCTCCTGCATATCACAAACCAGGAAAGATTAAATAAATCTTGTACTTTCTTGGCTGGCTGGCTATGGGCCATTGAGTCCATTCTGACTCATAGTGACTCTGTATAGAATATTGGAGGCTGTAAATCTTTACAGGAACAGAAAGCCTCATCTTTCTCCCTCAGAGCACCTGATGGACTTAAACCACTGACCTTCCATTAGTAGCACAAAGTGTAGCCCACTATGCTACCAGGGCTCATAAATACTCTCCAGTTAAAGCCATAAATTTAGGCAGGGTGCCAAGGAAGCACTGAGGTATGATGATCTTTCTAATAGAGATGATTTTCAATTTAGATCTGGAATAAAATGTGCACACCTGATGAGAACATTTTGTTCTCCATAGCTATTCCCTGAAATTTTGGGGTTTTGTCTTTGAAGACACATACATCCCTTACTATGCAGAGCCAGTCATTTTTTCCCCATTAACAGAATAATTTTGATGGGGACATGAAAAAGATAGGAAGGTTTCAGTTACTGGATTTAACATTACATTATAGGAATAATAGGCCAAGAAGCGCCTCAGACATTCCTCCCCCTCCTCCACTGAAAAGTTCACAGTAGATGAGGGCACCGCTGACCTGTGATAATCCTAAGAAAAAATTAACTCTACCAACTAAAACTGTTATTAGAAAATGAAGATCTTTAGATTTCATGGCACAACCCAATCACAAAAACAAACAATAAGCTGAAAAATACTTTGGCAGTATCAAATGAAGTCTTTGAAAATCTTGTAAGTCAAACCTTATAACCTAATATAATGTAGAGTCTAGTAAGAAGTTCTTTCTTCAACAGTCTAGGAAATAATTGTACGAAATTCTATCCTCTTTGTAATTTTTCTGACACTGTGTGATAAACGTTCCAAGAAGGGAATCATCAGTGAATGGAGGTAAATTGTTGGATTTAAGACACCAGACATGTTAACAAAAATTTTTGGAAAAGTCACAGTAAAAGAAAATAGCTATGGCGACACAGAACAAGACACAAGTCCAGGAGCACATCAACACCTGAGGAGCTAGTTTCCAAATTAATAATCTCTCCCTGATGGAGAAAAACTAGTATCATAATTTGCTGGCGGCTGGGGACAGGAACAAGCAAAAAAACCCTACAACATGGGTTCAAAGAAGCGCAACTGTGGTAAGGAAGAATTTTTAATAAACAAAATGAAACTGTCAGCCACTTTTTCACATGTCCTAATTAAAACTCTGGGTCAAGATTATGGCTCACAGGTCACTAATAGCTCTTATTCAGTTTGTTAATGTGAACAGCTAATGCTTTAAAATGCAAGCCGTGTCCTGAAAATGAAGACTTATATTGAAACATCTCACCCTTTCTAAGATTTCTAAGCACACTGAAATAGCAGCAAATTCTTTAAAACATTTTTTTGCAGCACTTTCTCTAATAAATCTGACTTAAGCCTGGTTAAATTGTTTGTTAAAGAAATATTATTTCCTGTATAGATCTGATGTAAACCTAAGGCTATGTAAAATCGACAGAAAAAACACTGACCCAAGCAAGTACTTTCAACAAAGTTGAACATTGCTGTGAGGGCATATACTGCCCAATGATTACCAAGAAAGCTGTCCCTTGATTTTCAGGGGCCTTTCTTCACCTATTCTAAAGTGCAGGGTTGAACTCTCGCCTCTGACCTACCCTGGGGCAAATACAGTTGCTGCCAGGGAAGGGAGTTCACCCCTTCACACAGTGGCCCAAAAAACTCCTGATACCATGTTCTTTCCCTAATGTGGTGTGCTCCAATTTGCCTCTTTGGAGAAGGGCTGAGAAAGGTTTGAGCCAGTCTTTTTGCTTCTGATTGTGGAAACCAACAACAGGCTGAATGGCAAACCCTTACAAACTCTAAGAGGTGAAAATATCCATATTTATAGTTGAGGTTCTAGGAATTTAGGGTAGGAAAGCAGTTGGGTTTAAGTTTGGAGCCCACAAGGCGAGGTAGGAGGGATTTTGAGAGTTGCTTAGGAATCCTTAAAACTCACATGGAAGGTATAGAACAATGAACAGTGAGGATATCTTTAAGAGAGTGCAGGCAAGTCAGGCCCTCAGTTGGGAGAGCACTAAATTTGGGGCAACCCTTCCCACAAAACCTACTGAGGGCATGCAAAACAGCAGGAGAGTTCTTAACAGCGAGGAGGGGATAGATACTAAAGAAGGGCACACTTACTGTTGTGGCGCAGGCTGGGAGATGGAACTTACCGCATGTCTCCATAAGGTCCAGCGTAACTCTCCATCCAGGGGCCCATCTCGCTTTTGACACAACTGGAGCTGGGGTACGGCACTCTGCTCACCACGCCACCGGGGTACCACACATCGGGTGCAGTGAAGTCACTGTCCTGGCCTGCCAGCCCCTGAGGTGGCCGAGTATAGCCATAGGGGGCCATGGTCCCGGATTCCACACCTGTGCCGCTTCCACCGCCACCACCACACGGCCCATACAGCTGACCTTCTTCAGCTGTGAAGAGAGTGTGCCAGGAAGAGGATGCAGTGGCTGAGGGCGAACCGGATCCAGGTCCCGCTGCACCCCCACCGTGCACACTCCCCATGTCTCCATAGCGGCACTGTGCTGCTGCAGCTGCCCAGGTGCTGCCATAGTCCATGGGGTTCTCCAGCTTGATGCGGGCGTGGGAATGGTGGCCGGGTGGAGGTGGCGGCGGCCCGGCCAGGGTCAGTGGAAAGTTGTAATAGTCGCGACTCTGGTAGGCTGTTACCTCGTCCAGTGCTCCGGACTTATAGAAAGACAGGGTGGGCGGCAGATCAAGTGTCCCGGATCCCCCTGCTTCGCTGCTGCCAGAGCAGCTTAGGCTCTCACCTTCCAGCCCTTTGGCGTAACCTTCCTTGAAAGGGGAATACTCAACAGTCTCTTCAGTGCCCTTCCCTGGGCCGTCGTCCAGTAGAGAACCTTTGCATTCAGCCAGCTGGGTACAAGGAGTAGGACGTATAGCGAGTGGACCTCCCAGGAGTGGGGCGTACATGCAATCCCCCCGAAGGTGTTCCCCAGGACTCAGATGCTCCAATGCCTCCACACCCAAGCCCATGGACACTGACACTGCCTTACACAACTCCTTGGCGCTATCCGAAATGGTCGAAGTGCCCCCTAGATAACTGTCCTTAGAGGAGGTGGGAGCCCCAGCGGCCTCCCTGGCTCTCCCGCTGCTGTTGTTGCTGCTAGTACTGCACTCCGATACTGCCTCCTGCTGCTGCTGCTGCTGTTGAAGGAGTTGCATGGTTCCGGCCTCACTCAAGATGTCCTTAAGGTTGGCGGAGCAGCTGCTTAAACCTGGGAAAGTGGGGCCCAGTAAGGACAACGTGGATGGGGCAGCTGAGTCATTCTCATCTGGAGGTGCTGGTGGCTGCTGCAGCAGCCCCTGGCCAGCGGTCGCGCCAGCTCTGGGCTGTGGGACGCAGCCGCTCTCGGGATGGTCCTCGGAGGCTGACTGCTGTTGTGAAGGCTGCTGCTCCTCGTCCAGGGCCAGGTAGCCTGTGTGGCCTTGGGAAGAGCCATCCTCAACCTGCTGCTGCTGCTGCTGCTGCTGCTGCTGCTGCTGCTGCTGCTGCTGCTGCTGCTGCTGCTGCTGCTGGCGAGAGCTGATCTGCTGCTGCTGCTGCTGCTGCTGCTGCTGCTGCTGCTGCTGCTGCTGCTGCTGCTGTTGCTGCTGCTGCTGCTGCTGCTGCTTCAAACGGGCACCGGGAGGTGCTGCACTCGCGGCCTCAGGTTGCCAGGGGCCCGGGTTCTGGATCACTTCGCGCACGCTCTGGAACAGGTTCTGGAAAGCTCCTCGATAGGTCTTGGATGGTGGCCGGGGGTAGACCCTCCCCAGTCCTAACTGCACCTCCATCCTTGAGCCTGGCTGAATCTTCTACCGTACCCCTCCTCCTTTTTTCTTGATCCAAAGAGTTCAACAGGCTGCGATGAGGTAGCCGCTGCAGCTAACTGCCCACCAGCTGCGGGAGCTCCTGGGAAGAAAACTTGCTGGAACAACCACGCAAAATCGTTTTGACAGTCTCAAAGCCTCGTGCAGACGAAAACACCCTCTGGACAGGATCTACCCTGCTAGGCTCACAGTCTGCCCCTGGATACTTGAAGGGTAGATTCAAAAGATGCTCAAATCTTGAGGAGAGCAGTAAGAGGATAAATCATCCCCCTCCTAAAGTCAGTGTCCCCTGAAGCAGGTGCAAATAAGAACCTTTTGATGTTTCGTTTTTTGTCCTAGGGGCTTTTTTGTTGGTTGGTTGGGGTTTTGTTGTTGTTGTTGTTTTAGGGTTTGTTTTGCTACTAAAATCCTGACTGCCTTTCCATCTTTTACGATCTGGGAGTGAAAAGGCAGGGGAAGTGGGGGAGTCTGGGAAACCAGGAAGCCCCCTTAGTGTGCCTAACAAGCAGGTCTTGGCTGCAGTGCTGAAGCTGTTCCCTGGGTTGCCGGGATCCCAGAGCTGTCTTTGCAACTTGCAGCTAGCTCATCTGCTCCAAGCCAAAGGGAGTTACCTCTCTGCAAACTCCTGCTGGCCACGCTGCGCCTGCGGAGGAGGGGGGAGGTGAAGGCGGGCTTGGAGAAACAGGCGGAGGACAGAACAAGAAAGGAGACCTGGGGTTGGGGCGGGGGGGGGGGGGGGGGTTGCGGGTGAAGGTAAGGAGGACAAAGGCAGCCGTCAGTCCTACCGGGCACTTTCCTTGCTCCCTCTGAGTCTCTAGCAGCTTTTAAAAACTTCACCGTAGAGGAAAGGGCAGCTTCAGGCGGCGGCTTCGAAGCTGCCTTACTGCAAGAGGCGTTGGCTGCTGCTGGAGCCAAGCTGAGGTTGGCGCGTTGCGTCCCTTGGGCTCCTGTCCCGCACCGGGCCAGCTAGCCCTGTAGCTTTCCCTCCTACGTCGCCTCTGCCTTCAGGCTTGCTCTAGACTCTCTGGCTCTCCCAGCAATCAGGCTTCTGGGGATCTCAGAGGGGGCGCTGGGAGGTGGAGAGCAAATGCAACAGTTTGCTAGTCGGGTCCCGCCCCCGCCAGGCCGGCCTCCCAGCCTTCCCACCTCCTTTCTTCCTCCCCTCCCCTTTCCTTTTCTCTCCTCCCCTCATGGCTCGCTAATGCCAGGCAGCTATGGAGAAACTAGTGCTGTCGCAGCGTGGGTGAGCGCGGGAGAAGCTGGATCTAAGCCTTGGAGGACCCCTGCTCCTTGGATACCTCTTGCTCTCCTGGATGAGAGTTTAAGGAGACAGGGTTGAGGCTTTAACTGAAGCTATATTTGAGGACAATGCTACTGGAGTGCCCAGAGACACTTGTCAGATAGGGTTCTAAAACCTAATCTGAAAACAAACGCTGGGGGTGTGGGGGGAGGGTGGAAGGAGGCTTTAGTAGTAAGAGCTCCTAATGGCTGCAAGGGGCTCTGTTCACCAACAGGGACACAGAACCGTAATGGCTGAAACCTTAGAATTTCTTCATAGAGGTAGGTAAATTGGGCCTTGTGATAGAGATTAGGAAGCCTCGACCTAGGAACCAGACCATTTCTCTGCCCTATTTTCTGCCCTTCTTCCTGTCTAGAATTGCTTCTTATTCACTTGTCACCAATCCAGAAGTGTAAAAAAATCTACCAAACAAGGAGGTAAAAAATTGTAAACACCAGAACACACACTATATAAACATGCATCCTAGATTTCCTCCAGAGCTTTGCAAATGTTGCTTCTATATTTTTGTTGTTGTTAAGTGCCATCGAGTTGGTTCCTAGGCACAGCGACCCTGTATAGGATTTCCGAGGACTGGCTGGTGAGCTTGAACCACCGACCCTGCAGTCCAAACTACTTTGCAGTCCAGCGCATTAACCCACAGCGCTGCTTGTATATAGACCCTTAGTTTCCCAAATTGTCTTCACATATTTTAAGCTTGGAACTATACTGTCCATGGAATTGAATCTACATATTGGTGTTTCTCTACATGGACAGGAGTCCTGGTGTGGCTCTGTGGGTTAATGCGTCAGACCGCAAAGCCATTTGAATTGCAAGGTTGGCGGTTCAAGCACACCAGCTGCTCCTCCGAAACCCTTACACGGTCTCTATGGGTCGGAACTAACTCTAAGTCACTTAACAACAACAACAACTTGATGGACAGAGTGGAGGGTGATGTGAGGTACTGCAACTGATTCTTTGTGAGTCTATTTGCTGCCGCTACCCCACCCCCAATTCTGACCCCCAGCACCTGGGTAAAGACGAAGAGGTAATGGAAGGGTAGAGGAAATTGTAGGGTTCCAGAAGGAGAAATATAAAGAACTGTTGTTGTTAGAACAGAATCTTGTGGATTCTGACCCATAGCAACCCTATGCACAACAAAAAGAAACACTGCTCAATCCTGTGCCATCTTCACAATTGTTATGTTTGAGCCTATTGCTGTTGCCATTATGACAAGGCATGTCTTTGGGGGTCTTCCTCATTTTCACTAACCCTTCACTTTATCAAGCATGATGTCCTCCTCCAGGAACTGAGTCTTCCTGATAACATACCCAAAGTAAGAGAGAGGTCTTGTCCATCATGGACTCTAAGGAACCTTCTGGCTGTACTTCTTCCAACATGGATTTGTTTATTTTTCTGGCAGTCCATGATACTTTCAATATTCTTCTCCAACAACAAAACTGAAACTACCCTTTATTCAGACTGTCATGACTCTAGGCCTCCCTAACTTTTAAACTCCTTTAACCTGTGGGTCTGAACAGGATACATCTGTCCCATAAGATATGTATACAGTTTTGTTTGGGTTTTTTCTGCTCTCTACAGGGAAAAGAGGCACTGTATGTAACTTTATCTTGTGCATAGTCAAGCACTAAGAGTATTTACTTACCCTGACCAAAAGAGGCAATTCACTCTTAAAAGCAGGGAACAGTGGCCATGATTGACTTTATTTTGCAGATGAAGAAGTTGAAGAACATAGTTTGCTCTATGTTCCACAGTAAATAGACTATAAACTATTGTTCCATCTCATTGCTATTTTAGCTAGATTCATCAATATCATGGACACTCAGAAAAGGGTTATAAATGAATCTTCTGGAAGGCTTCCCTAAATTAGTTTAACTTCTTTGGAAGTAAAGAATTATCTCCTGGAATTCTAAAGGCTACAGCCCTGCCTAGATATACCATACCCCTATTGTTGAAGAACATAGTGGTTATGAATCTGGCTTCTTATCTCACCATCAGCAGTTTGAAACTACCAGCTGTTCTGCGGGAGAAAGATGAGGCTTTCTGCTCCCGTAAAGATTTACAGCATCAGAAACCCTGTACAGGGTTGCTATGAATCAGAACCGACTCCACAGCACATAACAACAACAATTGTTGAAGAATCAGACAAATTATCCTTTATTGTTAAGAAGCAACTATATTCATGATGGTGGTGGTAGTGTGCTATGGAGTCAGTTTCTGACTTCTAGTGACCCTGAAAAGAGTTTCTAAAGCTATAAGTCTTTACAGGAGCAGAAAGCCTCCTCTTTCTCCCATGGAGCAGCTGGTAGTTTCAAACTTGTGGTTTGAAACTTGATCTTGTGGTTAGCAATCAGACATGTAACCTAATATTCTCTACCACAGCTCCTTAACTATATTCATAGAGATGACAATTAAACTGATACATAGCAATTCCACATTGTAATGGGAAAAATAAATATGTAATTCAATGTTGTTAAATGCCATGGAGTCTGTATAGGGCTTCCAAGAAAAATCTGGTGATTTTAAACCCCTGACTTTGCGATTCAAACTGACCTTGTGGTGGAGTGCTTAACCTACAGCTTATACCACACACGGACTTGTTTAAATGCACTATTCTTGTATGCCATCAAGTTGATTCCAACCCATAATAACCTTTCATAGGGTTTCCAAGGAGCAAATGGTGAGCTTGAACAGCCAATCTTATAGTTCAAACCTACTTTGGAGTCCAGCACATTAACCCACAGTGCCACACCAGGACTCCTTTAGATGCATAGATATTTTTAAAATCTTGTTTGAGTAGTCATCATAACCTTTAATCTCACCAAAGTTTTGAATTATGGTTGTTCAAAGGAAGTTGAGTTGTTAGGCAGAATGGTAGAATAAACACACACACACACACACACACACAAGACAAATCTTACAGCCACAACTGTTTACTTTCAGACTGACCATGAATCTCTTCCTCTCTCTCAGCCTCAATCCCCTGCCCTGTGATATGGAAGGAAGAGGAGTTAGAGATGGAACACATGGTCTTTTAGGTCCCATTTGATACCAATAATTTAGAATGCTGTGAATGACTTGAATTTTCTTCGTATTTACACCCAATAGATGGTGGGGTATGAAGGCGTTCTTTTTCTTTTGTTTTCAGTTGTGGTTGATTCTGACTCTTGATGACCCAATCTGTTGCAAAATACAACTACACTGGTATGGATGGGGCTGGTGAAAGGAGATGGGGATAAGACTCTTGTGGTTCAATAGTGAATAATTACTATCAGGACTGACTGTGAATGTGGCAAATGTAAAGGTAGACGTTTTTTAACAAAAGAAGGGTAGTGGTTGATCTTGCAGTCCAGGAGCAGAGGACTCTGGGACCATCAAGGGAGAACAGTGGAGTTTGGGACACTATCCAGAGAAGAAGCAATGCCAGAGATGGAGGCAAAGACGATGACGTGGAAAGATAGAGGGGATGGGGACTCTGGACTCAGGGAGGGAAAGGGGCTGTGTCTTGATGGCTGGGGGGCAGGCTTGCAGGGTGTTCCCTTTGGTTGTTTGAATTGTTATATATTCCTGAGTGCTTAGGTGTACATCCAAAAAAAATAATAAAATAAATAAAATAAAACTGAGGGAATGAAAGCAAATGCTGTTGAATGATGATGCATGGAGGGGA